GCCCCACTACTTTTTTCATTTTTAGTAGAAACAGGGTTTCACCATGTTGGTCAGGCTGGTCTTGAACTCCTGACCTCATGATCCGCCTGCCTCGACCTCCCAAAGTGCTGGGCTCATAGGCATGAGCCACCGCCCCCAGCTGATTCCAGGTGAATTCTTATCTGATGGGCGGGCAAGGGCGTGTCAGTGTGGTGGGTTGGAGTGTGTGTGTCTGAGGACACAGATGACATGTTTTCCCTTCAGCTTCTTGTTTTCTGAGCATCCATTGTGCCTTAACATTTTCTGCTTGTCCTTTGGTACACAGCAGGATTTTACTCATTCTTTGAATGTTCTCATTCTTTTGTATCATGTGACTTATTAATAAAATCAGTTTCTAACAAACTCTGGGGCGGCTCATGATATGAAATAATGAGGGTGTGTCCGTGACAGTCCAGGAGTTGATTACAGGCTGCATATTTGGTTTTCGTGAAACGTGTATCGAGGTGTGCAGCCCTCAGGCCGGCCAGTTTGATGCCCATGGAGCACCCGAGTGAAGCTGTCTTGGTGGCTTATAGTACTGCCAGGCCCAGGTTGCCCAGGAGGGGCTCTGGGGTTCCTTTGGGGACCAAGGTGGGTAACTGCAGATGCTCATGCCCTTCCTGAGGGCACCTCATGCTCCAGGCCTGGCAGGAGGCCATTTGTTTCCCACAGATCCTGCTGTCAACACCTACCTGGGAGGGAAAGGACAGCAGCAGACCCCCCTGAAGGACTATGAGCCCACCCAGGGCCTGGGCCTGCAGGAGGAGCACCACTGGGAGATTGAGGTTCACAATGAATGTTTCCAGAGACGGGAGGAGTATGCCACCTGTCCTTGGCAGCGTGGTCGTGGGAACAGGGCCGTCTCCTTGGGTGTCCATGACAGTGAGTGGCTTGTCCTCTGTGCGATCGTCTTTGCCTGGCAAGGCAGCACAATGCCATGACCATGGGTACCTGTGACCTTTCGTGGGAATAACTGCCAGGCACAGTGGCTCACTACTGTAATCCCAGCACTTTGAGAGGCCAAGGCGGGAGGGTCACTTGAGCTTAGCCTGGGCAACATGGCGAAACCCCATCGCTACAAAAATAAATAAATACAAAAATTAGCCAGGCATGGTGGCACAAGTGTGTCATGCCCAACTGCTTGGGAAGCTGAGACTAGAGCATCACCTGGGCCCAGGAGGTCGGTGATACAGTGAGCTGTGTTTGCACAACTGTGCACTCCAGCCTGGGCAACAGAGCAAGACCCTGTCCCCAAAAAACCCCCCAAAAAAACAACTCACCTCGACCAGATGTGGTGGCTCATGCCTGTAAACCCAGTGCTTTGGGAGGCCAAGGCGGGTGGATAACCTGAGGTCGGGAGTTCGAGACCAGCCTGACCAACATGGAGAAACCCTGTCTCTACTAAAAATACAAAATCAGCTGGGTACGGTGGCGCATGCCTGTAGTTCCAGCTACTCGGGAAGCTGAGGCAGGAGAATCACTTGAACCTGGGAGGCGGAGGTTGTGGTGAGCCAAGATCATGCCATCGCACTCCAGCCTGGGCAACAAGAGTGAAACTCCGTCTCAAAAAAAAAACAAGAGCTCACCTCATTGGACTGCTGGGAGCTTTAGTGTCTGGGCAGCCGAGGCCCTGAACAGGTGTAGACTCCTCCGCCTGAGTGCTGTGTCTGGAAAGCTGGGAGGGTGCCCTGGGGCCACAGGAGTGGCAGGGCTGCCAATGGCAGAGACACCCCCATTCATGGGCCTGGAGCCCCTCCCTCTTGCCCAAACCCAGTCTGCCCAGGCCACCTGTGTCAGTTGCCTGTTGCTGCTGTGACACAGGACCATGGCCACGGAGAGAACAACACACGTTCATCATGCCAAGCTCTGTCAGTCAGATGTGGAGGTCTCAGTGTCTTCCTTCCTTCCTGGAGGCGCTGGGGGAGAACCCCTTTCCACCACATTCCTTGGCTCCTGGCCCCTTCCTCATCTTCCAAGCTGGCAAAGGCAAGTGGAGTCCTCAGGTCACAGTGACCTTTGTCCTCACATCTTTGACTCTTCTTGAAGGACCCTCTGATTACACGGCGTCGCTCGCATAATCCAGGCTAATGTCCCAGTGAAAGGAGGGCACCTGGGGGCCCTCAGCAGACGAAGGCCAGGGTCAATGGCTCACGCCTATAATCCCAACACTCTGGGAGGACAAGGCACGTGGATCACTTGAGGTCAGGAGTTTGACACCAGCCTGGCCAACGTGGTGAGACCCCTGTCTCTACTAAAAATACAAAAATTAGGCTGGGTGTGGTAGCTCATGCCTGTAGTCCCAGCACTTTGGGAGGCCAAGGTGAGGGAATCACCTGAGGTCGGGAGTTCGAGACCAGCCTGACCAACATGATGAAACCCTGTCTCTACTAAAAATACAAAAAATTAGCCAGGCGTGGTGGCTGGCACCTGTAGTCCCAGCTACTCGGGAGGCTGAGGCAGGAGAATCGCCTGAACCTGGGAGGCAGAGGTTGCAGTGAGCTGAGATCATGCCACAGCACTCCAGCCTGGGCAACAAAGCGAGACTGTCTCAAAAAAAAAAAAAAAAAAAAAATTAGCTGGGCGTGATGGTGGGCACCTATAATCCCAGGTATTCAGGAGGCTGAGGCAGGAGACTCGCTTGAACCTGGGAAACAGAGGTTGTAGTAAGCCAAGATTGTGCCATTGCACTACAGCCTAGGCAACAGAGCAAAACTCCATCTCAAAAAATAATAAAAATTATTTTTCTTGAGTGGGCGCAGTGGCTCATGCCTATAATCCCAACACTTTGGGAGACCGAGGCAGGTGGATCACCCAAGGCCAGGAATTTGAGACCAGCCTGACCAACATGGATAAACCCTGTCTCTACTAAAAACACAAAAATTAGCCAGGCGTGGTGGTGCATGCCTATAATCCCAGCTACTCGGGAGGCTGAGGCAGGAGAATCGCTTGAATCCAGGAGGTGGAGTTTGCAGTGAGCCAAGATAGTGTGCCATTGCGCTCCAGCCTAGGTGACAGGGCGAGACTCCGTCTCAAAAAAAAAATTTATCTTAAAAAAAGGCCTCTAAAAATATGTTTCAGGCCCCACAAGTCCTGGATTGTCCTTGGCCCACCAGATATTGGCCCACAAGTGGCTCCACTTGTTTCCAGAATACCCTGCAGTCTCCGGCCTCAGGGCTTCTGCCTAAGCAGGTTCCCCTCCCTTTTGAAAGTCTAGGTGTGCTCAAGGCCAAGGCGGGAGGATCCCCTGAGCCTTGAAGCTCAAGACCATCCTGGGCAACAGAGACCCTGTCTCTACAAAAAATAGCCAGGTGGCTGGGTGCAGTGGCTCACACCTGTAATCCCAGCACTTTGGGAGGCCAAGGGAGGCGGATCACCTGAGGTCAGGAGTTTGAGACCAGCCTGACCAACATGGAGAAACCCAGTCTCTACTAAAAATACAAAATTAGCTGGGCGTGGTGGCGCCTGCCTGTAATCTCAGCTACTCAGGAGGCTGAGGCAGGGGAATCGCTTCAATCTGAGAGCTGGAGGTTGCAGTGAGCCGAGATCATGTCACTGCACTCCAGCCTGGATGACAGGGCGAGACTCAGTCTCAAAAAAAAAAAAAAAATTGCCGGTGTGGTGGCATACGCCTGTGGTCCCAGCTACTCAGGAGGCTGAGGTGGGAGAATCACGTGGGTTCAGGAGGTCAAGGCTGTAGTGAGCCGTGATCGTGCCACTGCGCTCCAGCCTGGGTGACAGAGCGAGATTCTGTCTCCAAAAAAAAAAAAAACAAAAAAAAAAACCCGCATTCTCCAACCCTCTCCCCACCTAGGCATCCCAACACCCCATGTCCCCTGTCCCACTCCCCCTAGCCTATCTGGCTAGACTGCTGTCCCCTGCTGAAACTGACTATTCTTACTCTACAGGCCCAGAGTAAGAATGCTCTGTTATTCACTGTTTTTTAAGAGTATTTATTTAGAGAGAGAGAGACAGAGGGTCTCGCTCTGTCGCCCAGGCTGGAGCGCAGTGTCGGGGTCACAGCTCACTGCAACCTCTGCCTCCTGGGCTCAAAAGATCCTTCCAGCTCAGCCTCCCAAGTAGCTGGGACTACAGGCACAAACTACCACACCCAGCTAATTTTTGTATTTTTTGTATTGACGGTGTCTTGCCATGTTGCCAGGCTGGTCTTGAACTCCTAAGCTGAGGTGATCCACCCTTCTCGGTCTCCCAAAATGTTAAGATTAGAGGTGTGAGCCACCATACCCAGCCTATACCTACTTTCTCAGGTTATAAAAGAGATACGATATGATGCCTGCCGTGCCTGGGTGGTACTGGGCTCAAGAGTAGTGGTTTGTTCCCACCCACAAGGGCACGGTGTTTTGTGCACATCTGCAAAGGAGAGGCAGGCAGGCACCTGGACTTCCAGAGTCTGGGGAGGTGGTCATGCCATTGTGAGGCCAGAAGTCAGCTCTCGGAGCCCTGGGTTCTTCATCTGCGTAGTGGAGCAGTCACCTGTGCTTCAGGGGGTTATGGGTGACAGATGTGAAAGCATTTGCAGCCTGTGATGGCTGCATTTGTGAGTGATCGTGTCTGGCTCATTCACTCACTCATCCTTAAGACTCACTGTGACCGAAAGTCATTTGGTTCCTACCTGTCTTAGTGTCCCAGCGCTGCCATAATGAAGTACCACAAACTGGGTGGCTTTAAACAATGGAAACTCGCCCAGCACGATGGCTCACCCCTGTAATCCCAGCACTTTGGGAGGCCAAGGCGGGTAGATCATCTGAAGTCAGGAGTTCGAGACCAGTCTGGACAACATGGTGAAACCCCGTCTCTACTAAAAATACAATATTAGCCGGGCATGGTGGAGCATGCTTGTAATCCCAGCTACTCAGGAGGCTGAGGCAGGAGAATCACTTGAACCTGGGAGGTGGAGGTTGCAGTGAGCCGAGATAGTGCCATTGCACTGGGTGACAGAGCAAAACTCTGTCTCAAAAAAAAAAAAAAAAAAAAGTAAACAGATTGTCTCACAGTTCTGGGGGCTACAAGCCCAAAATCCAGGTTTCAGCAGGGCCGTGCTCCCTCTGCAACCCTAGCAGTCCTTCCTTTTCTGCTCCTAGCTTCTGGTGCCTTGCCAGCCACTCAGGCATTCATTGGCTTGCGGCTGCACAGCCAGTCTCTGCCTATGTGGTCACCTGGCATCTTCCTTAGTGTCTGTGTCTTCACATGGCTGTGTTCTTACAAGCACACCAGTCAGATTAGACTACGGGCCCACCCTACTCCACCATGACCTCATCTTAACTAATAACACCTGCAATGATCCTATTCCCCCATCATGTCACATTCTGATGCACTGAGGGTTAGGACTTGAACATATCCTTTTGGGGGAACACAGTTAACCCTTACCACCACCCTACAGATTACTGTCTTGGACTTCTTTGGGGCTCTTTAACACAGCAAAGGCTGTTATTTTTTAAATCCTAGCTACACTTGGGTTGCACGGAGCAGCAGGAGTGACTCCCCACCCCGCCAGCCTGGCACACACAGCCTGGCTCAGCCAGCACCTGGATCCAGAGGCTGGAAGACCTGAAGAGGCTCTGCCCAGACTGCCCCTGAGGACAGTGCAGTGGGACAAGATCCTCACAGTCCCCAGTTCCCAGACGATCCCTAGCTCTTCAGAATGCAGGTGGCAGAGGTGACCAGAACAGTCAACACATGTGATCCTACTGTCCCCTCTGAGGCTGCGGTTTCCAGGTCATTATCCACTTACTGCAGCAGCTGGGGCATTCCTGGGGGCTTCCCAACCCGGGGCTAGCTGGACACAGGAGGCTCCAGCTACAACCCAAGCCCAGCAAGAAGCCTGCGCAGACCCACAGCTGAGGCTTCATGTGGCCAGCCCCCAGCCAAGTGGTAGTGCATGGAGAGACCCACGGGAGGCCAGAGGTGCTGCTGGGACTCAGAAAAGCCACAGCAACCAAGGCGACCCAGGACGCTGTCATGCTCAGTCTGACAAAACAAAGGTGCAAGGGGCATAGATAAAGCTGGAAAGGAGAGGGCTGGGGAGGATGTGCCAGGGGCCTCTGACACTTGTCAGGGAGCAGGAATTCCAACTGCTCCCTGCACACAGAGTTGCAGGATTAGCAACTGAGTTACCCATGGAGACATCAGCTCAGAGTCCAGGCAGCTTTTCAGATGACACTGGGGATAAGAACATAAAGACCAGGAAAATGGGTCACTTTGCACACACATGATGCCCCAACAGATGTGCCGGCCACCACCCAACACAAGACAAAGACGAACAGACAATAGACTGGTGGGGGAGCAGTGATCAAAGAAGGCTTCCTGGAGGAGGGGGCCTGACCGGCTCAGTAGGATACAGGTAAATGGTGCAAAGTGAGAGGGCATGGGATGGAGCAGGGTCAGTCAACCAAAGCCTGTGACTTTGAGCCTAAGGGACACTGACAGTCCTGACCCAAAGGAGGTGCAGGCCTCGGGACAGATTCTCATCGCTCATTCTTCTCCCTGGCGCAGAGGACTTCAGAGCTACCTGGCATTTTCTCCCTGTCCAAATCCACCCCACATTTCAAAAAAAGTAGGCAGACTACCCAACTTCACCCAGAACGGGGGTGCAGGGCTGGGCCTGGGTCTGAGGACTTCAGTTTTAAGCAGCAAGTCCAGTGCCCCTCACCCGTATTGGGCGGACAGTGTGGGTGGGGTGGAGCCTGCGTCCATCTGCAGGTTGCTGGTTCGGCTGTGGCCAGCAGGGGGCAGCTGAGCCCACTCTTTCCTCCCGACCGGCTGCAGGGACAGTGAACAGTACCGCCCGCCCAGGCAACCTGGAACCAGGGTCGTGCCCTACGGCAGAATGTGGGGGGCCTTGGGTCTGGCGCTGCGTGCTCACCCCCTCTCAGAGTGGGAGTCCTGGCTCCTGACTGCCCTGACCTTCTTCCTACCACTGGGCCCATGATGGGGGTCCCCAACTTTCAAGAACACAGGGTAAGGGGTTTGTTTCCCTGGTGGTAAGGGAGGGCATTCCTCAACGTCGTGATGGGTCCTGAGTTTTCCAAAGATTAGCATCCATGTCCTGGAAACGGATTCTGCTTTAGACGTGTGTTTTTCTGTGAAATGACAACTTAGTAAAAATATTTAAACTGGGGCTATTTGCAGACATCTAAGAGGTGGGGTGAGCACAACCTGGCACTAGTCGCCTCCCTCCTGAGGCAGCTGACTGTCCGGCCTCTGCCCCTGGGCCCTTCCTCCTTCCCAGCTGCCCTGGGTCCTCTTCCAGCACCTCCTGTCCCCGCCTCACACACTAAGTCCTCCTGCTATTTTTAACTATTTGGCATAATTTGAAAAAGAGAGAATAATAATAGTCCCAGCTCTTCCCAAGGACTTATTTGTCCAGTGCCCATCTGACCTTGGCACTTTGTTGTGGGGGTGGAAGTGACCCTGACAGGTTCTCCCAGCCAGGCTTCCCATACAGCATCGTCAAGGTCAGCAGCCTCGCAGGCAGGGGGGTTCTACTCCCCCGCGGAAGCGCTGGCACCACGGCCAACTTGCTCACAGAGGGCACTCAATCAGACCAAGGTGGGTTGGGGCAGAAAAGCCTCCTTCAGAGATTCAAGGACAGTCACAACCGGTGCTGTGATGGGGCCACCGGGACAAGCACAGTGCGCCATTCCCGTCAGCAGGGACCCAAGAGAAAGTGGTAGGCTCTGGCAGGGCTGCTGGCGGTCCTGGAGAAGAGAGAGGGCTTTGCGGACCTGGGGTGGAGGTGGTGGGATGTCAGCACCCGGGCTCCCTGCTCAAACGAGCTGGCACCAGGATTCCCAGTGGGTGGGCTTGGGGAGGAGGCTGGAAAGGTTGGCACAGGCAAAGTGTGGGGCCTAGGAAAGCTGGGCTTGCTTATTTGGCCAAGGGGAGGTGGGGAGGGTTGGAGGAGGTCTAGGGGCCGCTGGAGGTGCAGGGCAGCCCGGGGAGGCAGGGCTATGGGGCCCAAACACGCATTCCACAGGCCTTCCCTCTGCGGGAACAGGAGTGAGGACACAGGCACTCAGCATGGCAGGATGGGAACAGGAAGGTCTGGTGAGCGCTGTGACCATGAGGATGGAGCTACAGGAGACAGAGGTGACAGTGAGCTAGTGAAGAGGCAGGAGGAGGCAAGGAGGGCAGGGTGTTCTGGGGTGCCAGCTCAGACAAGGCTCCAAGGAGTGCGTGCGTGCTCAGGAGGATGGGGGACCAGGGCCTGGGGTAAGGGGCAGGCGCCCAGGAACTCTAGCATGGCAGGAAACAGGGGGTAGTCCCAGGAGATCCAGATGCAGGGGCTGACACCGCAAAGTTCTTTCCTGTAAAGCACAGCCTGAGGCCTGGGGCTTGGCCCTGCGCAGAGGAAGCCCCCCTTAGATCTGCCTCGGCAGTAGTGAGGAAACGGCACACACAGACCCCACACAGCCCGAGGAGACAGGGGTCAAATGCAAGAGTGAGAAGCTCCCTCCTGAGGGGCCCTCCCCTGCCTCGCCTTCCTGGCGGGCAGCCTGCTTTCCAGCACACGTGGTGGACCAGCCCACATTAGGTCAAAGTGTTAAAAATAGCTGGAGGGCTCAATATGTGTGGGGGGTATGGGAGGTGCTGAGGGAGGGCCCAGGACAATTGGGAAGGAGGAAGGGCCCGTGGGGCTGGGGCTGGCACAGTGGCTCCTGTGGGTGCAGCAGCTCCGGGACATGCTCACCTCACCTTGGCTTTGTAAACCAGGGCCGTGGGAGTCCCCTCTCCCTCAAATGCCTCTGCCTCTGCCAATGTGTGGCTGAGAGTGCACCCCAGTTCCCTTTGATCACCCCAGGCAGTCCCAGTCCACAGAGAGCAGCTGTTGCCCTTCCCTCTCCTGCCTCCTGACCTAGGAACCCACAGAGCTAGGCCTGTCATCACATTTGTGGGGCCACAGCTGACCTGGGAACTCCCTTCCTCAGTCAGTCCACAAATATTTACCCAGAGCCTCACCATGCTCAGTGACCTTTACAAAACATAAAGTGCAGAGTCCCGTGCCAGGGGACAGCGATCCCAGGCAAAACAGACCGAAACCCTTCCCTCGAGGAGATCAAGTTCGGGGGGTGCTTTACAGCCGTGGTCAGGAGGCTGGCTGAGTGGTGACCTTGGGCCAGAGCCTGAAGGAGCAGTGGGGGTGGACTAGGCAGCAACTGGGTGAAGAGTGTTCCAGGAAAAACTACATTGTCAGAATCAAGAGATGTTAAGGCCGAGAGGAGCCTCAAAATGGGGGAAGCAAGGCTGGGTGCGGTGGCCTGCCCTGGTCACATGAGACGTGGGGGCAGAGCAGGCCAGACCCTCACAGGAAGAGGCCGGTTAGAGTTGGGGTGGGGCCCAGCTTATGTTTCCTGCCTTGGCTACAAGGCATGAAAGACGGGCTCCCCGCCAGCACACAGTGACACTGCAGTTTCCAGACCCAGGCCCTGAGCTGAGGGGCCTCAGGGCTCAGAAAGGGCCTAGGCCTCAGATCTCTGGTGAGCAGGGAGCCCAAAATGGCCCTGGAGGCCATAGCTCCAGAACTGGACCCATGGAGAATGGAGGGCTGGGGCCCTGCACATTCTCAAGCAGTAGTAGCAACACTGTCATTGTCCTGCCCTTGGTATAAGCCCGAAGCACCACCCTTTCTTACCCAGCTCCTGCTCCCCTTTTCCAGGGGCTCCTATGGGAAAACCCAGGTACTTCCTGGGACTGGTCTCTCTCTATGTTTGGAAACCACAGAGCTGACTTGGCTTCACAACAAGATGTGGGGGCCAGGCACCCAGGAGACAGTGATCCTGACTGGCAATAGACGCAAGAAAGGGCTTGGAGACAGAGCCAGACGCTGTGGCTACCCATGTAATACCAGCACTTTCGGAGGTCGAGGCAGGCAGATCACTTGAGGCCAGGAGTTTGAGATCAACCGGGCCAACGTGGTGAAACCTTGTCTCTACTAGAAATACAAAAAGAAAATTAGCCAGCGTGGTGGTGTAAGCCTGTAATCCCAGCTACTCGGGAGGCTGAGACAGGAAAATCGCTTGAACCCGGGAGGTGGAGGGTGCAGGGAGCCGAGATCACAGCACTGCACTCTAACCTGGGCAACAGAGTAAGGCTCCATCAAAAAAAAGAAAAGAAAGGAAGGCCTTGGAGACAGGGCGCTGACCCTGGAATCCAGATGTTGCCAAAGCAACCCCCCCTTCTGTTCCTCTGCCTGCCTGGGAAGCAGCAGGCGGTGGCCACCCACCCGGGCAGGGTGGGGCCTTCACCACCCAGCCCCACCCCGGAATCCAAGGGCCTCTGTTTGCTGCTGTTTTCTGGAACAACTTGTTTTGATCTAGAGAAATCTGCTGACACCAGCCTCCCTGCTCTCGCCCTCCAGCAGGGCAGAGGTATTTTTAGACTTATTTGAAGAAGAGAGCAGAACCCAGGTCCAATGTGTACCCTTCTTACTGTGGGCACAGCTTTGGCCCCTTAAGGCAGGACAGCGATACCCATGTGGTTGTCTACCCTCAGCTCATCTCTCCTTAAATACGTTCCTTTCCTGAGAAAAATGAACTGTGTGGAAACTGGAGGCCAGCAAAGCTTCTACATAAGGACCCTCTGAAACAGTGCCCTTTTATCCTCAAAAACCCAGGGTGGCAGAGGCAGCTCCAGACACAAGGGCACAAAAGAGCCTTGGTTCCCTTTGTGACAGGGAAGCCCATGCTTTACAGAATCCTATGCTTTGTATGTTAATAATTCTCCCTACTTAAGAAAAAAAATACATACATATATCAGAATGGGTCTCACTGTATTGGCCAGCCTGGAGTGCAGTGGCACAATCCTAGCTCACTGTAGCCTCAAACTCCTAGGCTCAAGAGATCCTGCTGCCTCAGTCTCCCCAATAGCTGGGACTACAGGCAGTCATGTGCACCTGGCTTTTTTTTTTTTTTTTTTTTTCATTTTTTGTCCAGACAGGGTCTTGCCATGTTTCCCAGGATGGTTTCAAACTCCTGGCCTCTAGGCAATCCTCCCACCTTGGCCTTCAAAAGCAATTGGATCCCACTCTTTTTTGAAAAATAAAATCTACCATAGTTTCTGGGATTTGGTAATGATGTGTGTGAATTAGAGAGATTTTGAGACCTGAGATAGAGAAAAGCAAGTTAAGACATCAATTGGGGCCCGGAAACAGCACTACAGTGGGGATGACCCACCTCTCAGGTGCCTGGAGAGATAAAAGAAAGGCCTGGCTGATTCCACCGCCCAGTACTGTGAAGCAGCAGGGGAGTCACTCCATAGGTTTCATAAGCTGCCCAGCTTTCTAGAACATTCTGACAGACAATTCCCTCTTTCCACACGGTTCTTTCAGGCCAAATCACCCCACCCCAACCCACCCTGGGAGATATAGTCAGGACGAGACCGATGGGGCAGATCCTGGAGGAGGCCGCACTGCCGGAATCTTCCCCCGGCAGAGAAACAGGGCTAAACAGCCGCCAGGGAGCAAGCCTGGGCTTGCCACATCACCACCTTCTGTGCTGAAGGTCAGATGACACACAGTCACCAGTTTTCCGAGAAGCACAGGGAGGGGTGCACGTCGGGCCCAGCCCTGCCTGCTGATGCCACCTCACAGACGCAGGCGAAATGTCATCAGCTTCCTCCCGGTTGCCAAGGGAGCCTGTTTTTAGGGGGTTGTTTTGTATGGGGTGTGGGTGTTAACCAGGGAGAGGTTCCTGGCAAGGAGTTCCTGTCAGATCCCATTTTCCGTTCTGGTTACTTGGACCGGGGTTCTTTTTTTTTTTTTTTTTTTGAGACGGAGTCTTGCTCTGTAGCCCGGGCTGGAGTGCAGTGGGCGGATCTCAGCTCACTGCAAGCTCCGCCTCCCGGGTTTACGCCATTCTCCTGCCTCAGCCTCCGGAGTAGCTGGGACTACAGGCGCCCGCCACCTCGCCCGGCTAGTTTTTTGTATTTTTAGTAGAGACGGGGTTTCACGGTGTTAGCCAGGATGGTCTCGATCTCCTGACCTCGTGATCCGCCCGTCTCGGCCTCCCAAAGTGCTGGGATTACAGGCTTGAGCCACCGCGCCCGGCCATGACCGGGGTTCTTTTTCTACCTCTACCTCAGGGGCCAGGGCTTCCTCATCACCCTGCACCCCCTAGCAAGGGAGGCGCCCGCTACACGGTCCAAAGTCCTCTCCAGACTTTCGGGTCCTGCCCGCCTTGGTGGAGGGCTCAAGAGTTCACCAGGTTTGCTTCCAGAAGAGCCAGGCTGGGGGTGCCTACTTGCAAATGCCGCAGATAAATAAACAAATAACCTTTCTCCCCATCCCCACCCAAATGTAAAATGAGCCGACAGCCGGTCCCACGGCTATGACAGATACTGCTTTCCGCACAAAATCTTGGTTTTACATTATTTTGCAACGGCCTTTTCCCACTTAATCCATCCTGAACACACTTCTTGAATGTTCTATCCCGTCAGGGATGCGCCTTCTCAGGAAACACGTCCCCTCGCCAGGCCCCTGGGAACAGTCACAACCACGACGCCTGTCCCCGAAGCGCCCGCGCAGCTCCACGGGATTCCATGTTGTCACCCACTGGATCCTGGACGCCATCAGCCCGCAGCAGGGTTTCCAGACCACAGAAACCGCCTGTTGGGGTGCGGGGCGTTACACGTCCCCTCGCAGCGCCCCGCTGGGCTTCTGGGCCGCCCCGCCCCCACCCCGCGCCCGGACGCTGACGTCACTGGCCGAGCCAGACTCGGAGCCGCCGCCCGAGAGTCACGCGCGCCTCCCGGCGGGACGCGCCCTCTGCAGAGATCCCTCCGCCGCCGCCTGGAATTTTCCAGACGTCCTGCCGGCCCTTCTTTCGGGCCTCGTCGGGGCGTGGTGACCTGAGGCGACCCCGGCGGCTCCCGTTGCCCACTTAGGAGGGCGCCCCCGCCCGCCTCTTCCTGAGCCCCTCTCTCTGGGAAGCGCGCCCCGCCCGACCCAACACCCAGGAAGAAAGTCTTCTTCGTCATGGCATCCGCCTTCCAAATGTCACCTTGAGCGCTGTTCGCGATCCCAAAAAGCACTGCTAAGGAGAAGCGGGGATAAACTGGGGTCCTTGCGTCGGGGGCGCCTGGGAGACCATGCACCGCCCGGGTTGTCTCCCCGGGCCGGGTCGGGGAGGGACTTTTTTTCCGGTGGCCGTGGAGGAATCGTCCCGTTGAACAGTGACCCCGGTGACGCGGCCGAGGGCTATAAAAGCAAAAGTTGTGGCCGGTCCAGCAGAAGTTAGCGATAGGGAGGGATGCGTACTTGGGTCTAGTTGTGGGGGAGGAAGTGACCAGTTCAGGGTCTCGGGACAGACCGGGAGAGATGGTTGAGTTACATGAGACTGGGGGCCCTGGGAGTACGAGAAGGAAGCTTGACAAGGAGACTAGGTCTGAAGAAACCACAGTGGGGCAGGCTGCGTGGTGGAAAATGCCCGCAGGAGCCCCCAGAGAGGACAGCCATGCTCCAGGCCAGGCTGTCCCTACTGCCTGCTGGAGAGGGAACTTGACCTCTGGGAGGGAGCCGCTCTTGCATGGCTGAGCGAGCCCCCGTGCGCTGGTCTGTGTGGAAGGAGGAAGGCAGGGAGAGGTAGAAGGGGTGGAGGAGCCAGGAGGAATGAATGGGCTGCTGCGGCCCTGGAAACGATCAGGAAGGCAGGCAGTGGGTGCAGGGCTGCAGAAGGGCCGGGAGGGCCGAGCTTCAACTTGTCCATGCCAGCGGCCCCTTTTTTTCCAGACCAAGGGCTGTGAACCCGCCTGGGGATGAGGCCTGGTCTTGTGGAACTGAACTTAGCTCGGCGGGGCTGACCGCTCTGGCCCAGGGTGGTATGTAATTTTCGCTCGGCCTGGGACAGGGCCCAGGCCGGGCCCAGCCTGGTGGAGCGTCCAGGTCTGGGTGCGAAGCCAGGCCCCTGGGCGGAGGTGAGGGGTGGTCTGAGGCGTGATGTGGAGTTAAGGCGCCATCCTCACTGGTGACTGGTGCAGCACCTAGCATGTTTGACAGGCGGGGACTGCGAGGCACGCTGCTCGGGTGTTGGGACAACATTGACCAACGCTTTATTTTCCAGGTGGCAGTGCTCCTTTTGGACTTTTCTCTAGGTTTGGCGCTAAACTCTTCTGTGAGCTCACTCCACCCCTCCTCCTCCCTTTAACTTACCCATTCACTTAAAACATTACCTGGTTGTCTGGTAAGCCCGGGACAGTAGCCGAGTGGCTTTTGGAGTCGGTATTGTTGGTAATGGTGGAGAAAGAGAGGCCTTCCCGCTGAGGCTGGGGTGGGGCGGATCGGTGTTGCTTGCCTGCAGAGAGGGTGGGGAGTGAATGTGCACCCCTGGGTGGGCCTGCAGCCATCCAGCTGAAAGTCATAAAAATGCCTTATAGACCGTGGTTTGTTACTATAGTGTTCCTCATGGCGAGCAGATGGAACCGGGAGACATGGAGCCCCTGGCCAGTGTGAGTCCTAGCAGTGCAGGAGGGGAGACCATGGAGGAGAGAGCCCGCCTCAATTGATGCCTGCAGATTGAATTTCCAGAGGCTTAGGAGGAGGAAGTTCTCCAATGTCGTGTTTCCAGGCCTTGCTGGGGAAGCCCTGTATTCAGGAGGCAACCATTTAAAGTTTTCAGATGAGCTTATGGGGGGCAATCTTAAAATATCCACAGCAGATGCATCCGGCTCGAGGTGCCATCAGCTTTGAATAAATGCTTGTTCCAGAGCCCATGAATGCCAGCAGGCACCCCTCCTTTCCTGGGGTAAAGGTTTTCAGATGCTGCGTCTTCTAAATTGAGCCTCCGGTCATACTAGTTCTGTGCTTGGAACCTTGCTTCAAGAAGATCCCTAAGCTGTAGAACATTTTAACGTTGATGCCACAACGCAGATTGATGCCTTATAGATGGAGCTTGCAGATGGAGCCCCGTGACCTCTCACCTACCCCCCCTGTTTGCCTGCCTGCCTATGCGTTGCTCGGAGAAGTTCTTAGCCTGATGAAATAACTTGGGGTGTTGGAAAGCTGTTTAATTTTAAATGCCTTAGACGGGGGATGTATTAGAGGAAGCAGATTGTCGAGAGTGTCATTGTGTTATGCTAAACTCTGGGAGGGTACAAATTGGTCATTCCCAAATCTGTGTGTGAAAAATGGCAGGTCTAGTTTGGGCATTGTGATTGCATTGCAGATTACTAAGAGAAGGTAATGGTGGGTATACCGGTAGTGCTCTTTTGTTCTTGCTTCGTTTTTTTGCACCTGAACTTCGTTAGATTTCATAATGCTTTTTTGGCATTTTAATAAGAGGACCCTGAGGTGGGAGTTGTGGGAGACCGGGAGAAGGGGACAGCTTGGCACTGGTCACGTGGGATTTGCAGTGTGGGGGATGGGGGTGTGCAGCTTGGCACTGGTACTGGGAGGGATGAAGGTGAGGAAGGGGAGAGGGTTGGTTAGGTATATAGTGTGGGTGGTAGGAAATGCAGGTTGAAGGGAAATTCTCTGGGGCTTTGGGGAGTTTTGTGCGGTGGGTGAGCCAAGAAAATACTAATTAATAATAGTAAGTGTTGGTTAAGTTGTTGCTTGGAAGTGAAAAGTTGCTTAGAAAGGTTAGAACTTTAAGTGCAAAGAAAAGAAAAAAACCCAAAACAATTGTTTTCCTTTGCTGCAAGGTGGGGAAGACTGAAAAAGTGTAACCGAAAACAGATGACACAGAGTCACCCGTTTTCCGAGAACCCACAGGGAGGGGTGTATGATGCCATCTCACAGGCAGGGCAAGTGTCTTTACCAGCTTCCTCCCGGTGACCAAGGCAGCCTGTTTTAGAGGGTTGTTTTGTTTGGGGTGTGGGTGTTATCAAGTGAATTAATCACTAGAAAGATGGGTGTCAGACTTGTAGACACAGCAGATCGGCATCCTTCGCTGCCCCTTAGCAACTTAGGTGGTCAATCTGAAGCTGTGAAGGTGTGATTTTTCAGGAGCTGGAAGTCTTAGAAAAACCTTGTAAATGCCTACATTGTGGGCTTTTGACATATTTAAGGGACCGCTTAAGACGAGATTAGATGGGCTCCTCTGGATTTGTAACTCATTTGTCACAGATACCTTGTGATTGAAAATCGTGAGTGAAGTGAAATTGCAGTGCATTTCAAGGGAATTTTGTATGTAAATCGTGCCTTAGAAACACTTCTGTTGTCTTTTCTGTGTTTGGTCGATATTAATAATGGCAAAATTTTTACCTACCTAGTATCTTCAAATCGTAGTCTTTGTAACAAGAACCAAATAACCTTTTGTGGTCACTGTAAAATTAATACTTGGTAGCAGACAGAATCCATGTACCTTTGCTAAGGTTAGAATGAATAATTTATTGTAGTTTTAGTTTGAATGTTTGTGCTTTATAAATGATCCAAGGCTAGAGGGGAAACTATCACTTAAAATCCATGTGGAAAACAAGAGCTAAAAAGGAAAGGGGATGGGGATTGTGGGGAGGGAGTGGGTGAGGTGCCTTTACTACATGTGTGATCTGAAAAACCTGCTTGGTAATAAGCTGCGGTATTGAATTGGTAAAGTAATACCAATGGCCTTTTATCATTTCTTTCTTCCCTTTAAATTTCACTTAAAATTTTTAAAATCATGGTTATTTTTATCCTTGGGATCTTTCTGTCTTCTGGGTTCCGTTTTTTAAATGTTTAAAAATATGTTGACATGGTAGTTCAGTTCTTAACCAGTGACTTGGGGATGATGCAAACATCCTGTTGTTGGGATTTAGAGTGTATTCCTCATGCATGTATGGGGAAATAGTCTCCAGTATGCTGTTGTGAAATTGAAACTGTAAAAGTAGATGGGTAAAAGTACTGGTGTGTTGCTCTGTATGGTAAGAACTAATTCTATTACGTCATGTACGTAATTACTAATCGTTTTTCTTCCACTTTACAGCACAAATAAAGGTTTGAGTTCTAAACTCATGAGAATTGTTGTATTGCTATGTTACATTTCTCGACCCCTATCACATTGCCTTCATAAGGAAGTTGTGGATGTATCTTCATATTGTAGATTTAGGTCTAGATTTGCTAGCTCCAAGTAATTAAGGCCATGTGGGAGAGCATGGTAACCACAGATAAAACTGCTATTATCCCAAGTGGTCTGCAGACTGCTGGGTGGGGAGGGTATCTCTTGGGAGTTGGTAATGATTTGTTTGAAATGTGATGAACCACTCAAGCCAGTGAAGGTGGGTGTGTGTAGGTGGGGAGTACTTTGCCATAATATTTTAAAACATTACCTGGTTAGAGTTCTAAGTGGTACTTATTTTTGTTTGGTTAGGGGAAAGTCTGAATAAAAACAGAAATGGACACATAATATGTATATTCCACAGTCTTTGGGAGGCTGGAATGTGTCTGGGATTTGGGTCTAAGTATATGTGTAATTCTTATCTCACTAAAGAATTTGGCTTTTTTCTTTTGTTGAGTGACTAAAACGTCTGGGCTTCCCTGTGTGTGCGCTACACTAAGCAAGCAGAGGCTGTGCAAAGGTGTGAGCAGAAGCACATGGAATCTGGAGGGTACATCTTGGCTTGCAAACTGCCTCTGTGTCCTGGGTGGGACTGTTCTGTCCTTGCACTGCTGTTCGGTGTTACCTCTTGGGGTGTAAGGTTTATGCTTACAGGAGACAAACATTGGGCATAAAATGGAAGCCACTGCCAGCCTCTGTGCTGAGAAGGAAGGTGCTTGTTTCAAAGGGAGCAGCAAGGGAGGCTTGTTCTACTCATCTGGGCCTGTTGGCCTGAGAAGGGGAGATAAGGGCTGAACTGGGACTAGCCAGGGGGACCAACACAAATGGTGGGGGATCATGACCTGAAGGATTCTTTCCTTCTCATGAGCTGCGGGACTGGCTGCCGTCCTTACAACTGTGTCTTATTTGCCTGTGCCGTTGTATCTGGGTGACCCCTCCACGTGTACACTACTGACAAATGGGTTGAGTGCTGGAAAGAAGTCACTGAGCCACCCACCCAGTAAACCTGTCTGTGCTCATGGCACCGCCAGAATGGGGCACTGCTGTGTGCAGGGTCCAGGGCCCTCTTCCTGCTTGCCACTCCTTTCCCTGGATGCCCCAGAAACAATCCAGGCCTCCTTTCCTATCTTACCCTTTTGCTTTGCTTTTACCCCAGCACCTCTATAACCACCCTGTCTTCTTTTCAGAACTCCTTGTTTCTCCTCTTGTTTTTTATGATTATTACAAAACTTGCTTCCACCCTGGAAGATAACTGCTATAGATGCCTCTGCTTAAACGGCCGGGCGCGGTGGCTCAAGCCTGTAATCCCAGCACTTTGGGAGGCCGAGACGGGCGGATCATGAGGTCAGGAGATCAAGACCATCCTGGCTAACACAGTGAAACCGCGTCTCTGCTAAAAAATACAAAAAACTAGCCGGGCAAGGTGGCGGGCGCCTGTGGTCCCAGCTACTCGGGAGGCTGAGGCAGGAGAATGGCGTGAACCCGGGAGGCGGAGCTTGCAGTGAGCTGAGATCCGGCCACTGCACTCCAGCCTGGGCGACAGAGCGAGACTCTGTCTCAAAAAAAAAAAAAAAAAAATTGATTCACAGGGTATAAATGTTGGGGATTAGAAGTGGGGCTGAAATGGCACCTGTTGACACAGCAGCAGAGAGGTGAGGCTGACTGCTGAAGACAGCTCGCCACCCTCCTTGCCTCCACTCCAGTCCAGGGGCTGGGGCCACATTCTTTGCCTTCAATTATCCTCAGATCAGGTGAGATCAACAGGAGGTGTTGATGGCAGTGCCAGCAATTATTGCTAATCAGTTTGCATCCTTATGCATAGATCTGAATTCAGACTTTCTGTGAATTTCCAGAGGTGTGGGTAATATAATGGAATTCAGTGAGCGGGCATGGCTCATCTTGTGCAAATTGAAAGTTATGGGACATAAGAATAGCAAAAGTTGAACTTGAACTTCTTTTAAAAAGGAAAGGACCCTGAGAGCCAGTATTGGTTGAGGCTCGTCAGTATGCCCAGGTTGGCGACAATGAGAACTGCAGGAACGGCCTGTGTTACAAAAAGGAGATTGACTCAGCTGCCCTCAGTGCATCTTGAGTGTGACTCTTAAGGGATTCCAAGGACCCTTAATGCCAGGGCTAACTCTCCATGTACGGTGAGGCCTCTGGAGGAAGTGTTACCCTCTGGCTCTGTGTGCTACTCGTTACGGTGCAGTGCTGGCATGAAGTGAAGACATGCCCAAATAGGCTTTCAGATGTTTATGATGTGTTTTAAATGTTCATATTTAACAAACAAAAACATACTGATGCTGTTTGGAAATGGCAACAGGAAGATAGCAAAATGAACACTAACATTATGAAAAGATGAGCAGGTATGTGCTCCAAGGCAGGTGACTGTGACCTTCCTCTGAGTGAGGACATCCCCTCCAGCACCTTCCAGCCTGCTGGTTAGGATGACCCACCACCACCCTCCAGGACCCCCAGCCCTGTACTGCCTTTCCTCTCTTTTAAATAATTCTTCATTGAGTTCTAATATGCTAAAAAAAAAAAAAAGTTTACTGTAAAGTTTGCAAATAAGGAAATTTTTTTAAAAAGTCCTCAGTAATCTTACCATTAACAATCGTTATGGGCATATTTGCTTTTGGAGGATTTCTTTTGTATGCATGGGATAAGTACATTTTCATACAAAAATGGGATTATGCCATAAATTCTATTTTGTGACTAGTATATAATGAACACCTTCTTTTAATGATGACAGGATGTTCCCTTGCATGGCTTTATCAATTTAAACAATCTTGATTCAGTGGATATACAGGGTATTTTCTAGGTTTTTTTTTCCTCTTAGTAAATAATACTTGTGATGACTTTCCTTGTAGCTCAGACTTTTTCACGTCTGTTATCTCTTTGGGAATGCTAAATACATTTCGAGAAGGAAATGACTCTGTTAAACTCTTAAGACTTCAGGTTCATATTGCTGAACTGCCCACCAGGGAGGGATTTTTTTCAATTCGTGTTCTCACTAGTGAGGCAAACCTGATGCCTTCCCCTCTTCCTCAGAACGGGCTTTATCACATTGAAAACTTTGCTCCTCCAGTGGATCGAGTCTGCTTTCCCCGTGGGTGTGAGCATTTGTTTGTCTGCTGGCGATTGAACATCTCTACCATATGTTGATTGACCATTTGTGGTGTGTGTGCGTGTGTGTATGATTTTTGAATTCCTAATTAGTCATTTTTCTATTGGTTGTTTTGTAAAAGCTATTTACATCTTAAGGATATTAATAATATTTTGTTATATTTGATGCAAATATTTTTTCCAGCTTATAGATTGCCTTTTAATTTTGTGTTTCAGATAGATAAAAGTTACATGATTTTCTGAGGATAGTTTATCACTGTGGTTTCTGAACTTGTTATGTATAGATCTTTCCCACTCCAAGAGTATATAAATCTTAATCCATACTTTCTTGTGGAACTTGTATGGTTTCGTCTTTTTACGTTTAAACCTTATTCCCTGTGGAGTGTGTTGTGGAGTCTGTGTGTGAGGAGGGGCGTGGTGCTCTCAGAGCCCACCTCCTGTGACCAGAGAGCCCTGTCCTGTGAGGGTTGTTGTCACAGTGGGAGGGTTCACTGCAGAAGACCTCGAGGACAGGCTGGTGTTTCCTGAATGGGCCTCTGGTTGTTGCTCGTCCCTGACTCTGTTTCCCCATCTGAGTAGATTTGGACCTAATAGGGCACTGGAGCTGGTTCGAATCCTGACTGGACTACTTGGCAACTTTATGTCTGGGAGCAAGTTACTTAACTTCCCCGAGCCTGTGTCTGTGAAATGCGAGTAAATGAATGTAGATGTTTGGCAGCAGCTACTCCTTGTTGAGCTCTCACAGTGAACTCTCCTGCCTCTGCCCTCCTTCCCCGCCCCCTCTGGTGCCTAGCGTCAGGTCTAGCCCCTTCCTCCTGGGTCCCAGTCCCTGTTCTGTGGCTGGCTGCCCGCCCGCCTGGCGCTGGACTTTTCATGCAACGGGAATCAGTGTACATGTTCTGGTCTGATCTGTTTCTACACTTAGTTTTGTTTCCACTAATATTTCCCTGTACCGGCAGAGTTCACAAACACATTTGAAGAGGCTTTTTCTCAGGATTCTTAACCTTCCCAAAGGAAGTCCCATGGATGGGTTTCTAGAAGTCTATAAATGCTCTGAAATTGTGTGTATTTTTCTGTGGAAAGCATAACTTTCATCTGCTTGTTCATCCTCAAAAAAGATCATGAATGAATGATTGCATGATTTTATGCCATTGTGCTTATACTAAAGGATATTTAGCCCATCTCTTGAGTTGTTAAACTGTGTTGACTATTTTAAATCGTGCAGCTGTGAGCATCTCTGTAAATTTAGTGTACATATATATCCCCGGAGTGGCATTGCCTGGGCAGTGAGCACTTACGCTTTTATAACTCTTCACAGACTCAAATGACTCCAGAAAGCTACACTTCCTGTTGTGAGTATATTATATCCATTTCCCTACATAGCTGCTAACATCACGTTTTTGCAATTTTATTTATTTGTTGCTACTCGTGAAAATTTTTGCCGTGAAATACATACAATGGAAGTTTACCGTCTGAATCATTTTTAAGTATACTTTCAGTAGTGTTAAGTATGTTTCCATTGTTGTACAACCAATCTCCAGAACTTTTTCATCTTGCAAAACTGAAACTCTATACCCGTTAAATAACATTAAACATTCCATTCCCTCCAGCCCTGGCAACCACCATTCTTTCTACTTTCTGTGAGTTTGACTACTCCAGGCACTTCATATCGGTTAAATCATGAAGTATTTGTCTGTTTGTGACTGGCTTATTTTGCTGAACACAGCATGTGTCAGAATTTCCTTCCTTTTTAAAAGCCGAATAATATTGTATTTTATATCATATTTTGTTTATCCATTCATCCGTTAGTGGACACTTGGGTTGCTTTTGGCTATTG